ACTTCATACGCTCAGCTGATCACAGATAGATCTCTCCTGAAACTAGCTTTATAAGTAAAAGGGCATCAGTGCTTGGCACTGAGAGCTCTGAAGACTAGCATTTACTAAGACATTGTGAAAAGAGCTAGAGGGTGCCAGCGAAGCCAGGGGCCACTTCTGTTCTTTGTGAGGCCCTCTGATGGAGACAACCCTGCAATCTCTGTCATCCATCTAGAACCAGAATCAAAGAATTTTAGTATTATAGGTTCTCCTTCATCAGGAATGCCTACCACCTGATATCTTATTTGCCAAAAGGATGTTTGATATGTTTTGTCTGCTCTCTAGAACAATAATTTATTTGATTAACTCTCTTCAGAGTTATGAGAAAATTGGGAAAACTTACCCAGCATTGCCAGCTATACATTTTGCCAAGAAAAGTAAAAAACAAAAACCAAAAACAAAACCTCACCTACTATCTACCACCATCTAACTGTAGCTCGTGGTATGATTCTTACTATTGATTTTTCATCTATAAACAGATACAGGGTCATAGGTGGGTTTTGGACATTTAATGATTCTGATTCTCTCTTTTTTCACACTAGAGCCGCCAATTATGGTGACCAAACAATTGGAAGATACAAATGCTTACTGTGGGGAGAAAGTGGAATTAGAATGTGAGGTATCTGAAGATGACGCCAATGTAAAATGGTAAATAACTTTCTTGAGGTCTGTTCATTTTTAATAGACACACAAAAAAGGTACCTTCATGGTTTGGAGAACAGGTAATTGCTTTTACAGACATGAAAAGAACCTCAATCTCATTTGTGTTAGTAGAAATGGTAACTAAAACTACACTAAGATAATGGGGTGTTTTTTTGTTTGTTATTTTGCTTTTTACCTATGAAACTGAAAGAAAGATCCGTAAATCTATATTGGTAAGGATGTAGGGAAGCAGGCACTTACTAATAAATGGATGGCTCAAGTTGGCCTAGGTCTGTTTAAATCCAAAGCCCAGGGATGCTCTTCACCTCTGTACCATGCTTCTCACTATGCCGTACTGGCAACTTACATGGAAAAAGTTTCCTTTTTTTCCCACTTTATTCCTAGTCACTTTATTGTGAGTCCCTCAGAAAAAAATTTTAGACTAAGAATCACCAATTACCTTTAAAAATAAAAGGCAAAAATTTTTGGTCAGATAGGAAGTGTTTTCTCAAGTTCTCTGTGAGTCACCTCAAAATTAAAAGACTGGAAGATTCAGAATCCTAAAATTAAATGCTTTGTTGAGAAGTATAGCAAATGACATAACAGTAATCTTTAGTAATTGGTACAGAGTATATTTTTTATTCTAATCTAGAATCATAGCTATCTTTGAAATGTATTCAAATGTTATTCTCACCAGTATACATCAAAAGCCAAAACATAAGTAATATCTACTCTTAGCATCATCATCTAATTGACCTTAAGTGGAAAGAGGGGGCTTATGTTCTTTTAATGTAATTTTTTAGACAACATTTGTTATAATATTAATCCATTGATAGATTGATTTATACATTCTTTAATTCAACAAATAGTGCCAGACACCCTGCAAGACACTGGGATATAGGAAAAGCAAGACCAATAAAGTTCATCTCCTGAAGAGTCTTTTACAAAATTTTTTTTAATCTGTTTTAACCCAGGTTTAAGAATGGTGAGGAGATCATCCCTGGTCCAAAATCAAGATACAAAGTTAAAGTTGAGGGCAAAAAACACATTTTGATCATAGAAGGAGCAACCAAGGCCGATAGTGCAGAATACTCTGTAATGACAACAGGAGGACAATCATGTGCTAAGCTTAGTGTTGACTGTAAGTAAGACTTCCATGTCTTCCATGTTGGCTTACTAATCGTGTTGCATTTGTTAACTCAGTTTTATGAAAGTTTCGATCTATTTGATTTCTACTTGTGACAATTTTAACTATGTAAAATTAAATTCCAGCCTAGCTGAGGGTCTATGTCATATCATTCAGGGTCTCTGAGAAAAGAACTGACTACTCAGTTTGACAATAGAGCACCAGTATTAGGAAGGAAGTATTCAAATAACCTGCTGACCAAGTTAACCAAATGGTTGAGAGATATTTGATTCCCAAACCATATAAATAGATGATAAATACTTAGATATTACATCAAATCTTCATAATGTTTTGCTTAGCCCATAGGTGAACTTGCTATCTATACATTAAATAAACACACAACACTCTGCAATTACATTTGGGGTGAAAAGTTACTCAAATTCATGGGCCTCAATTGAGAACACTGTAAGAGCTAATTTGCTAATCTGCTTCAGAGGCATGAGAGAATTAATGTACCTCCCCCAGTGCCCACTATTAGTAGTCAGTTCTCAATGGCAGAAATGTCTTTTCCAGCTAGCCATGAAAATTAAAATAGCAAATCTCATAAGAAGATTGGTAATATACACAGAGCAGAAATCCTGCTTTCTTTTTTAGACCAGTTGCAATTCATATGATCACAGAATTATTCAGAAGTAATTTCAATACACTCCTTATGCTTTATGGAATGATAGCCATTTTACTTTAATATCAAAAAAAGTTTACAACCATAGGCATATCCTTATCTGATATTTGTATCCATTTAAAGCAATTACAGTCAGTTCTGCTATAATGCAACATATGCGTTTCTAAAAATCACTGTGCTAATACAAAGTCATGCAATAAAAACCATAGGGCTAGTGGGGAAAGTGGGGTTATAGGCACAACACTCAGAATTTTTGTCTGCGACACATTAAAAAAGAAATCAAAACAATAAGAACCTAACAAAAAACAGCACAGTTTATAAATATTAAATGGTTAATAAATACTGCAATGAATATGGCATTTAACCTTGAAAAAGACCTGAAATTTGCTTATGGAAGTGATATCGGAAGTTTTGCAGCTTGTGTGCTCTTGTGGAGTGGTGGACAGAGGTTGTTAGAAATTGGATGGGTAGTGGTTATCTCAGTTGTCCATGGGTTTGACTCATAATCACATGGGTGAACTGAGGTAGGTGGTGGATGTTTGAAGTATGTTTGTGTGTTTTGTGCAGCTCTGCTTGGCTCCGTTTAGCTGGGTACAGTTTTCTGGATTCACTTAGTGATTCTCATGAATGAAATCATGCATCATCATGCATGAAATTTGTGTTACGCTCCAACTGTTCCCTAAAATATCAATTGCATTGGAACACAGTCTCATTTTCCAAACAAGCATTAATAGCAAAGCTGACTGTACCTTTTTGAAATGACACCCTGTCGGCCTGTCTGAATTGGGTTGGGCACTTACAACCATCTATTATTTCTGTAGTGAGGCCTCTGAAGATATTGACACCTCTGACTGATCAGACTGTAAAAGTTGGAAAAGAAATCTGCTTGAAGTGTGAAATCTCTGAAAACATATCAGGAAAATGGACTAAAAATGGGCTACCCGTTCAGGAGAGTGACCGCCTCAAGGTTGTGCACAAAGGAAGGTAAGCAAGCTAGGTGATCCATTAATGAAGGCTGGGCCCCATCTCTGCTTTTTCTACTTCCTAAATTACATACCTGGCAAGGATGTGTGAAAAGCAGTCATAGGGAGAGGATCTAGCTCTAGTTCTTTGCTTTCAAATCGTGAGAGCATGTGATTTCTCTGTTGTACATCATGTCTTACCTGTGATCCTGGGATGTGCACCTCACAGTAGGTTGCTTTGTCAACTCAAAACCCACTGACTCATTCTTTCCATCTAAATATGAGGTTAGAGGAAAGATACTGAATTCTAGTTGAGAAACTGGTCATATTGGATTAATTCTCCCTAATCAATAAGTGTCATATGACCTTTCCACAAATTTTTTTTTTTTTAGGGAACATAACATCCTAGAATCCAATAAAGGTTTAAGGCAGGGGTTCTTAAACTTGGATCCCTAGATTCTGAGAAGATCATGGATGAACTTCAGGGACCCTCATAAATGCTCTGAAATTGTAAGCAAATTTTGTGTGTACAAAAATATTTGCTCTTCTCCAGAGAGAGGACCCATGGTGTCCATCAGATATTTACTGGTTCATGACCCCAATAAAGTTAAGAAGTATTGTTCTTAGGTTTGGCATATAAAGCTAAACTCAAGGTTATTCTTAGTAATTTCTTGAATCTTAAAGTATGCATTAGTGACATGTTATCTTTTAGCCTTTTTAAAGCTATGAGATAAAGAATAAGAGACTCTTGCATAATAAGCAGGCCATATTTTTAGAGATAATTCCATATAGTCCGAAGTAAATATTTAATATGGATCAATATATAGAATAATTAAGGCTTCCCATTATTTTCTTTCTCTCTCTCCAGGCTGCACTAAACAAGTTAATCACATAAAGGCCAGGTTTCTCCTCAGATTGGGTCATATAAAATTTAAATCTTTGCAAAGTGTTAGAAATATGTTTTTCTCGTTTCCTTAGAATCCACAAATTAGTGATAGACAGTGCTCTCATTGAAGATGAAGGTGATTATGTATTTGCACCAGATGCCTACTCTATTACTTTGCCTGCCAAAGTTCATGTTATTGGTGAGTAGATAAAAAAAATCTTTGCAGAGTTGTGTTCTTGTTTTGTTTTTGTTTTTGTTTTTTTGCTTACCGTAACATATTTAAAACTATAGGATGTTTAAGGAAAAAATACATGAATTGGTATTAATTACTAATCATAATTATTGATTCTTTAGAAGTCACAATGAAGTAATTTTGTACAGTGCCAGGCACCATCAACATTAACTCCTCTTACATTTTCTTTGGCCAGGTAAAATATTGGCTACTACCAGTGTTTAGCACTAGCCAAGTACTAGCCCAGATATTCATGGAAAAGACTGTCTGATAACAAAGACCATGTTTAATATTCCAGATCCTCCTAAAATCAACCTTGATGGTCTTGATGCTGACAATACAGTGACAGTAATTGCAGGAAACAAGCTTCGTCTTGAGATTCCCATCAGTGGAGAACCACCTCCTAAAGTCATTTGGAGCCGAGCAGACAAGGTTTGTTCTACACATACACACACACACACACACACACTGCTCACCCTACTCCCTGCCATTAGTCAGATAAAAGAAGATGGCAAATAAATGTACAGGGGTACAGCAAAGATATAATTCCTTTGATAAAGAAAGATCATTGATTTCTAGGCAACTATAATAATCATTTGTTTACTCTTCATATTTCTGACTACCTACTATGTGACCAGGCATGTTTTTATGTGCAGTGAACAAGATTCCATCTTTCATGAGTGTCAGGGAATGGGGTAGAAGAGAAACAGACAATGAAATATTAAATAAATAGATGGACAAAATTATTTTGTATAGTAATAAGTGCTATGAAGATTTTAAAAATAGGCTAATATGATTATCAAGTGATTGTATGGTAAATGACAACAGCCTTTCTGAATGACAGTAAGGAGCCCATTATAGAAAATCAAAAGAAAGATATTTCCAGGTGAAGTCGATGCAAATGCAAAGGACAAGGGGAGAAAAGTAGCTTGATGTGTTGGAGAAATAGAAGGAAAGCCAGTATGGATGGGGCAGAGTGAGGAAGAGAAAAATAAAGTTGGAGTGGTAGAATTGTGCCAGCTCAAGTGTGACTCAATGGCTTCCTATATAAAATGTTTTACAGGCAGCAGAACTGTTCCATATGAAACTATAATTATGGGTACATGTCGTTATAGACTTGTCAAAACCCATAGAATGTACAACACCAAGAGTGAACACTAATGTAAACTATGAACTTTGAGTGATAATAACGTGCCAGTGTAGGTTCATCAGTTGTAACAAATGTGCTGCTCTAATGGGGGATGTTAACACTGAGAGAGGTTGTGCATATATAGGGACAGGGGTTATGTGAGAACTCTCTGTACTTTTTGTTCAGTTTTGCAGTGAACCTAAATTACTCTAAAATAATTTACTCATCATCATCGTCATCATCATCATCATCATCATCATCATCATCATCATCAAAGAGTTGGAGAGTGTTTCCTCCTTTTCTATTTTCTGGAGGAAAAAAATATCACTGAGCTATGGGACAACTTCAAGCAGTCAAATATAAGTGCAATTGGAGTCCCCAAAGAGAGGGACAGAAAAATATTTAAAGAAATAATGGCCAACATTTTTCTAAATTTGATAAAAACTACAAAACACAGATACAAGAAACTCAATAAAAACCAAGCACAAGGAGCATTAAGAAAATGACACCAAGACCCATTGGAATCAAATTGTTCTATAGCTGTGATTAGGAAAAAAAACCTTAAAAGTAGATAGAGAAAAAAAATCACATCTAATACACAGGAACAAAGGCCAGAATGACATCAGATATCCCTGGAGCAAGGCAAGTGAGAATACAGTGGAGTAACATCTTTAAATAAAAAAACTGTCAATCTTGAATTGTGTACTCAGTAAAAATACTTTTCAGAAATAAAGGCAAAATAAAATTATTTTCAGATACATAAAAGCTGAATGAAATCATCACCAGCAGAACTGCACTACAAGGAATGCTAAAAGAAATCTATAAGTTAGAAGGAAACTGATAGCAGATGAAAACATTTTCACAAAAGAACAAAGAGCATCAGAGATGGTAACTACATAGATAAATATATGTGGTTTTTTTATTATCTAAATCTCTTAGAAAGATAATTGACTTGAAAATAATAACAATGCTCCTTGTGTCTTATAAGATAGTGTAAGTAAAATTTATGAGAATAAAAACATAACGACAAGAGGAGAGAAATGGAAGTAAGGATTGGGAAGGGTGAAATGGAAGTATTCTATTGTAAATTTATTTTGTTGTATGTGAAGTATTATAATATCACATGAAGACAGACTGTGAAAAGTTAAGGATGTATAATATAAACTTTAAAAGAATCACGAAAATTTAAAACAATGATTTATAGCTACTAAGCCAACAGAGGACATAAAATACAATCACAAAAAAATATTTAATCTAAAAGAAGGCAGAAAAAGAAGCACAAAGAACAGATGGAACAAGTAGAAAACAAACAGCAAGATACAGAATTACAAGGAGAAATATTATAAATTAGAGATGTCAGTACTCTTCTCTCAATAGTTCATAAAATAAGAAAACAACTATTAGGGATATAGGAGATACTAAGAATATTATCAACCATCTTGATGTAATTAACATTTATAGAACACTCCATTGGACAAAGCAGAATGGACATTATTTTAATATGCATATGGAAAAAAATATGCATATGGGAAATTTACCAAGATAGACCATAAAAAAGTCTCAATAAATGTTAAAGAATTTAAGTCATGCAAGGTATGGTCTCTGACCACAATGAAAGTAATTAAAAGGTAACAACAGAGAGATACCTGGAAAATTCTCAAATATTTGAAAACTAAGTAACATTTTTCTAAACAACTCATGGATTAAAGAAGTAATCACAAGGGAAATTAGAAATTATTCATGAACCACTACATATCAGAATTTGTGAAATGCCACTAAATCAGTACTGAATAGCCTTCTATCTATTAAAGAAATAGACTTTGTAGTTAAAAATTTTTCACAAAGAAAATCTCAGGTTTAGATGGCTTTATTGTAGAGTTCTACTAAATATTTAAGAAAGAAATAATACCAGTTCTACACAAACTCTCTTCTAGAAAATTTGAGTATTTCCCAACTCACTAGCGTTTATCCCAGAAATGCAAAGTTTGGTTTAACATTTGAAAATCAATTAATATAACTTACCATATTAAATAACTAGGGGGAAGATTGTGACCATATCAATAGATACAAAAACATTTGACAAAATCTAACATCCATTTCTAATATCTCTCAGCAAAGTAGGAAGTGAAAGGAACTTCCTCAACATGATAGCAGACATCATTGACAATTCTACAACTATCATCGTACTTAATGTTGAAACGTTGAATGCTTTCCCCCTAAAATCAGGAACGAAAGAGAGAAGATGCCCACTCACCACTCTCTTCACCATTGTTCTAGCCAGGGCAATCAGGCAAGAAAAATAAATAAAAGACATCCATATTGAAAAGAAAAAGTAGACCTATATTTATTTATACATGACAATCGTAGATGCAGAAAATCCACTGTAACCTACAAAAAAATCTATTAGAACAAATGGTCATAGTAACCTTATTTATAATATCCAAAAGCTGAATATAATGCAAATGTCCATCAATAGGTGAATGTATAAATAAATTGTAGGATATTCACACAATGGATTACTACGCAGCAATAAAAAAGAATAAATTACTGATACATACAACAATATGGATGAATCTCAAAGTAATTATGCTAAGTGAAAGAGGGTATACCAAAAAAAAAGAGTATCTTTAAAAAAAACTGACAATACCAAATAATGGCAAGGATATGAAACAATTAAACTCGTATACATCACTGGTGAGAATAAAAAATGGTATATCCACTTTGGAAGAGTTTAGTAGTTTTTTTATAAAGTTATATTTACCATACAACTCTACAATACTATTCCTATGTATTTACCCAACAGAAACGAAGACATATGTCCACACAAAACCCTGTACATGAATGTTTATAGCAGCTTTATTTATAATTGTTAAAACATGGAAACAACCCAAAAATCCAGTTGTACAAACATACAGGTTGTACATACATACACCAACTGTGTATACACTATACAATGGCCTGCTCTCAACAGTAAAGAAGAATGCACTAGTAATACATGCTGCAACGTGGATGAGTCTAAAGAGCGTCATGCTAAGTGAAAGAAGACAGGTTTTAAAAGTTACACACTGTTTGATTCCATGTATATGGCATTCTGAAAAAGGGAAAACTGTAGGCACAGATAACAGACCCTTGGTTCCCAGGGATCAGAGTGGGTGACTGACTGCCAAGGAGCCCGAGGACACTGTTGGAGGTGATGGAAATACTCTGTATCTTGATGGTGGTGGTGGTTGCACAGTCACATAAACTTGTCAAAATTCATAGAACTGTACATCTAAAAAGTGTGACTTTTACTCTATGTAAAGTATCACCCAACAAACAAAATAAAATAGAGAAAGCTGGAGAGGATAATGTAGCACCACCTTAAATAAATATTTTTCTTTTCCCATTAAAAAGAGCAGAACATATTTTATAATCTTAAGATTAGAATTTCGCTAATATGATGAAATTTTGTTCTATTATAAGACAGAACTATGAAAACTATTTCGGTTATTCTTACTGTTGTCAAAATCTTGGTATTGGGGATTTATGATTTCCAATCCAAAGACAAAGGAGTAGAGAGTTAACAATAGTGGCAAATTGCCCAGGGTACCTAAAATTACCTTGACCTTCTCTGTTTTGCGTCTTTGCATAGCTGTTCATTGTCATATAAAAGATATGACCTGAAAATCAATAAAATGTAATGCTGCTTTAAATTTCTGGTTTAAGAAAAAAAAGAAGCAAAGGAGAAGAAGGGGGAGGAGGGGGAGGAGACAAAGAAGAAAATAAAGGAAAGAAAATATAATAGAAGCCTCAACCTCACTGTCTTTGCTTTGGGAGTTAGATGTTCACTCTTTCGTGTGCTATTGGAAGGGGGAAAAAAATCAGTACTTAACAACTTGTATGGAAAATTGGCATTGCAGCCTTCTTCAAACCTTTTCAATATTTTTAAAATTTCAAGACATCTAAGGAAATGAAAAAAATCATTATTTAGTTCCTGAAATGAATTGAAGTATTTCTCATTTCATATACAGAGACTCCTCTCCTAGAATGACACTGCACTCATATTTTTAGTCCTCCAACGTCCTCTTTGGTGAGTTAATGGTTAGTGGGCTTTAGTGTCAAATCCCAGTTCCACCACTTCTTGGCCATGTGGCCATGGGCCACAGTTTTCTGATGTGTAAATGGGATAATAATACCTTTGTGCTTAGAGCGGATGGAGGATTAAACTAAGAACATTCATTTTAGGCATTCATACCATGTCCAGCTTAAGTTTCAAGGCACTCTGGAATAGTCCTGGTTGTTGTCTAGGTCATAACACATTTCATTTCTTTCCTCCTTAGGCTATTATGGAGGGCAATAGCCGGATAAGAGCAGAATCTTACCCTGACAGCAGCAGTCTGATCATTGATGCAGCTGAAAGAGATGATTCTGGGGTTTACAACATAAATCTGAAAAATGAAGCTGGAGAAGCACATGCAAGCATCAGGATTAAAGTTGTGGGTAAGTCCTCTGGATCACAAAACTTCTAGAATCAAGTCGACGTGTCTAGATCCAGAGTAGGCTTTGTCGTCTTGGTTCTCTCAACTTTTCTGAGTAGCCAACAAAGAGAAACATAGTATATAGCTATATTTTACAAATCACTATCTTTCTTTTTCTACCTTTGCCACTTCTTTTCTTTTCTTTTCTTGTTTCTCACCTCCTCCTTTCTTCCCATCCTTTCCTTCCCTTCCCTTCCCTTTCCCTTTTTTGTTGAATGGAGGACACATTGCATGAGTGATAACTGAGGCAGCCATTTTAGGTTGCTGGTTGTTCATTCTCCACAGTCATATTCCCTTTCAGTGTCTTCCAAAGTTACTGAAACACAGTTGCTAAATCACTTCCCATATCGCAATCATTGTAGAGAAGTACGATGTGTCTTAGTCATTAGATGACCATCTAAGTGAATTTTTCCGAAGCCTAAAACCAAGTGAAATGAATCTAGCAGACTATTGAGCCAAGGTTTCATGATCTGTTCATCTCATTTTAGTTTTCCCTTAAATATATTTCTAGTTGACCAAAAACTAAGGTCACTTTATCAGGCACTGAACTATATTTACAAAACACGGTAACTTGCCATTTTTGACTTGGATTTTTACTAGTCAATATCTTTAGTCTTCCAACTGATATAAAATGTATAATAGTCCTTGATTCAATTCTACTGGAAGTTTACTTTGTAGTTAGAAAACGAAACAAAACAAAAACATATCCAACATTTAGGCAATAATTTCTTAGTTACTGTTTTCAAGGTAAAGAACAAGAGTCTTGGGTTTAATGTGGGGCTTGTTCTCTAATGTTGTGATGCTAGTTTAAAGGATTTTTATTTTTATTTGGCTTACCTTCTCTTATCTCATATGAAGCATGACTTTTTTGCCCAAATTAGTTACTAAGTGCATCTCAGTAACACTGCTTCTCTGATTATCACCAAAAACCCCATACTTTCCAATTAACATTTTTCTTCATACACACACTCTCTCTCTCTCTCTCTCTCTCTCTCTCTCTCTCTCTCTCTCATATTTCATTCTATTTTTTGTTTGCTACAGACATCCCTGATCCTCCAGTGGCACCGAGTGTGACAGATGTGGGAGATGACTGGTGTATCATGAACTGGGAGCCTCCTGTCTATGATGGAGGGTCCCCAATCTTAGGTACCTGCATGGTGGTCAGTCTGTGGAACTCCCACTGGAGTTGGTGTCCTCATTATGCACATTAGTACAGAATACATTAAAAATAGGGCATTTAGAAGAAAAACTATTACACTGTATCTTTAAATATTCCATTCAAAGTGAAGTATTTTGGGATGTTGTATAAGTACTTGAGGTTTTAATAGCTCTGATAAATATTGTCTAATTGCCTGTTCTCTTTTTTGGTTGACATTTATATTCAGTATATAAGTTTGGAATACCATGAGTCTAACTTTAACCTATTCAGTAAACTAGTCAGTAAATGTCTAGCTCCATAAAATTATGCCTATGGAGGAATTTCTTTTATAGTTAAATACTTAGAAGAATTTGCTTCCCCTATGAAACAAGAACTGTTTTCTACTTACTAATAATGAAACTCACAACACTGGTTATTTTCCCTTTTATATATGCATTGCTGGAATTCAGAGCCAAATCTATTGCTCAACTATACCAATTACATAAGCTGGTATAACCTACATATCTTTGAGCTATTTTTCTCTTTTCTTCTTAGTACAATTTTAATTTTTTGTACTCCTGTTACTTTTATCTATCTCCTCTGATGTTAATATTTGTATCCCCTATAATTTCTCTCAAACAACTGATGGAATAAAGTGGGTTAAAAATACATACATACATGGCTCTTTCAGAAAATTTTAAGGACTTCTAATATCTGACAAAGTTTCATTTTGGAGACAAGATAAAAATCTGAGTTCCTATTTTGTGTCACCTGCAGGATATTTTATTGAGAGGAAAAAGAAACAAAGCTCCAGGTGGATGAGGCTAAATTTTGATCTCTGCAAAGAAACAACTTTTGAGCCCAAAAAAATGATTGAAGGCGTGGCCTACGAGGTCCGCATCTTTGCGGTCAATGCTATCGGCATCTCCAAGCCCAGTATGCCCTCCAAGCCTTTTGTTCCTTTGGGTGAGTCAAGACAGATGTGTCTTTGTCATGGGAATCATTGCCCCAGATTGTGACTGCTTCCTTCTGACCTATAACTGGCGCAGACCTGGAGGCTTCTTGAATAGTTGGTGAACAGCAGGTTGGAGGTGGTTCCGAGCAATTTTCAGTCTAAGAAATTAAAAAACACCTTTGGTAGAGTTGAATGTCTTCATGATGTAGGCTCTGGAATTCATTCCCAGAATTCCAGTGACAGCTGTGGGTGGCTCTGGTTTCCGTTCGTCTCTGAAGACATGTTGCTGAACCCAGTGACACATGACTACTCTCCATTTGTCCTTCTGAAGGCATAACCCAGCACCTTGGTGTCATTGCTCTAACTAAAACAAATTGAGATCCATTCAACAAAGCACACTTGGAAACTAGGCTTTGCTTTACAGGCATACCTTAAATGTTATCTATTGAACCAAAAATGTCAGTTCAGCAGAGACAAAGAAACAGGCGGCAAGAGGTCTTCACTATTTTATGGTAGTGAAGGTTTTTTCTCAATAGAAAAAAAAAATCAATATAAGAGTTTGTACTTTACAATTAGAGAGTTATTTACTCTAGATCATTAGATCCCAAACTTTGACTGTTTCCAACTTTCTTGGGCCTCCCAGCCACCCACACCAACCTCCCAAACTGGAGAGAACGTGTGGCAGTATTTCTAACATTTTCCATGTCTGGCTGATCTTTGCCTTACACACAGCATATGCTCAAGGAGGCTTCATTAAATTTTATTAAGACGTGGGTCTTCTGTGTATATTTTTGTTTGTATCCCAGCTCATTTGATCACCATTCCTTGCGCCATAACTCTGTAGTTAATGGTTTCTTCTTTTTCTGTCTCTTTTATCTTTGAAGCTGTAACCAGTCCTCCTACTCTTCTGGCTGTTGACTCTGTAACCGACACCACTGTCACGATGAAGTGGCGGCCCCCAGACCAGATTGGTGCAGCAGGTTTAGATGGCTATGTGCTAGAATATTGCTTTGAAGGAAGTAAGTACGAGTCGTAGTTAAAATGAATACCGCCATCAATAGGTGAGATATGCTTCCCCCTTCCTTTTGTTTCTCTTTCTTGGGAACTCGTCTTCTTACTGAAAATGACAACAAGCCAAAGGTCATCCTTCTAAGACGGATAACACGGTAGCCCTTCTTTGGTACTTGGGGCTAACAAATTGAGATCTCAAAAATATCCTAGCTAGGCTGCCCAATTGGATGACTTAAGACATAGGAAGAAGGGATGCTGACAAAACTTCAGGGACTTCCACTTCTTTAGTTGGTGGAATTAAGTTGTACCAAAGCAAAATAAGAGTCTAGTTAAAATGAGTTGGAAATTCTAAACCCTGTACTGAGCAGAGGTCAGCTATCAAAAGAGCTGCCTATTTCTGGGTAATAAAGAGAGACTATATATTTGGCTATCTGGTGATCAGCCCCTGCCTCCTTAAAAAGAAGGAAGAGGAAGAGGGAGAAGGAAGAAGGAAGAAGGAAGGAAGGAAGGAAGGAAGAAAGGAAGGAAGGAAAAAGAAGAAGAGGAAGGGGAAGGGGGAGAAGCAGATGGAGAAGAAGACAAATAAGAAGAAGAAGAAGAGGAAGAAGAGGAGGAAGAAGAAGAGGAAGAAGAGAAGGAAGAAGAAGACGAAGAAGAAGGAGAATAATAATTAAGGACAACTTTCAATGTTTAAAGGAAGTAGTATTAAATCCCACATGGAGTAAGAAATAGTTTCAATGTGTAGCTTGGGTATATAAAAAATAATCACTTAAGGGCCGGCTGAGTGGCTCAGTTGGTTAAGAGCTCGCTCAAAGGTTTGAGCTCTGAGCAACAGCGGTTCAAGTCCGGCCCGAGCTGAGCTGCCAACAGGCGGCAGGATGGCTCAGCTAAATAAATAAATAAATAAATAAATAAATAAATAGTCACTTAAATTCAGGAGCAGAAGAGAAACAGGAAAAAAATTGCTGATAGGAATAATAAAAAAAGAGAAAATGATGCAAGAAAATGTGGGCCAGAGTGTACCTTAAAATCAAAAAAAGATGTGAAATTCACTGAAAGTGTCTTGCGTTTTTTTGAGTTCCTAGTTGTCACGATCTGAAAAATGTGTGAATCAAACTGCCGCAGCTCTGGACTCAGGCTGCATTCTAGGTAATGGTAGGTAAACCACCCACCAGAGAAACACGCTTACATCTCCACAAATGATGGGCCAAGATGCAGCCCCTAAGAAAACTCTGTGGACCCCAAACTTTAACATGGATCTTACATACATGAAGGAAAGAGAGACCACAGGAGTGTGAACACAAAAGCACCTCCCCAGGAGGAAAACCTCTATGGAGAAGAAACTTCCTATGAAGAAAAAATTGCTGAGAAAGAAATCCCCAGCGCCTGGATTGGGGCACCCATGACAATGACCACCGTTGGTCGGGAGGGAAGAAGAGGAGGGGGGATGAAGCATCCTAGTACCACTCGGTTCCATTCACATGCGCTGTGCTCACAGAGCACTGTGCTTATTTTCCCAGGGCTGAGAGAGCTACTAACCCAAACCAGTGGGGACATTATAAGAAAGTTCTCAGAGTTATCTCAGCATGGGCGGGGGCGGGGCGGGGAGGGGCAACGTCACTAATGCAACTGGTAAATTCTTAAGCACTTCACAATATGGTTTATTCCCATTCCACTCCCCTCCCCTCATTTCAAAAAATCGTGAGCACTTCACTCTGTTATTTATATTGCCCAGCCAGCAGAATTTCCCAGGCTTGTATGTGTTGTGGCTGCTGGCCAAGAACCTTTTATGTATGTATGAAACAGAGCAAATTCTTTACTCTTTTCTTTCTGATAGGTTTAAAAAGTAAGAAGATACAGCAAAATGATAAATGGCTGTCATTTTGATGTTACCCACCTTAGATAAAATACAACGAAGTGTATTTTACATGATTTTGTGTGTGGTCTGTGTAGATACATATGTATATCTGTATATACATATGTATATGTACACAGTCATTATTATGTACATATTTTGCCACATAACGTTTTTGGAATTAGCTTTCTATGGAACTTGTATCTTTCTTCTTGCAGTCTTTTCTTACTTCCCTTTTGTGGCTGCCCTATTCTTCATTCTCATTTAATGGCTGTTGTCCTCCAGACTAATTTTCTGTAGTGTTTAATGCTTTTCGATATGTCAGGTTTTATTCTGTAAGAGAATTCTTTCTTCTCTAAGATCGTGTGTTGGTTTTGACTCTGCCTTTCTCTCTTTTTTTAATGCCTGCAGCATTTTACTCTATTTTCTTCCTTCACACTATTCCCTTCTTCTCTTTCATCCCCCTCAATTGCAGTGGTTCACATGTGAAGGGATTGCCTATTTTTTTCCCCCTCTGATCTTGTTTCATCCTGTTGTCTCTTGAAATTTTCTCCTTTACTAGTTCTTCACTCTTTCGTGCACGTTTTCTGAGTCTCCTAGTTTCACTTTTTCATCAGTTGTCTCTTGACTATGAAAATAACAACACAATAGCCCCCCAACCAACCATTAGCTTAAAGATGTTTCTCTTTTTCAAAGTCCTAAGTAATTTTTGTCATCCACATGACCTCCAAGCCACCAGGGCTTTCTGGCTTCCTGCCCCTTCTCCCTGATATTTCTAGAATAGAAGTGTTGGAATAGGACAGAGGAGAAAGTTCCAAGGGGGTGGGGCACAATGCAATCCCCAGTCCCCTGATACCTACAAAGCCATCATCCCAAACCAGGGGGGTATGCCCATGACCACCCTGTGAGCCAGCACCATTCTCTTCTCTCATGTGAAACACAGGGACCCAGGCAGGCTCAATTTTTCTTGACCAAGAGCTTGTTGTCATAGCAACCAGGGGCTACCTCCCCAGCTGCTGGGATCGTTTTCATTTCCATTGAGAACTAGAGCCCTGGTAAGACAGGGCTGGCCTTATTAGGGGTGCCCTCACTCCCAGACTACTGTATGAGTCCCACCGTGGGAGTATTCCATCCCCTGGGGACGCAGAGGACCCTCCCAGGCTGGGGTGGCAGGGATAGGAGCAAGGTTAGACTGTTCCACTGTGCGCTGCTCCCCCACAGAATCCAGGACCTGCACCTCCTGTCTCGTGAGGGACTTGCTTTGTTCTTCTCTACCTCTTGCTCTCTTAGCCGGAGGTGCCCCATCCTCCCTCCTCCTCCTCTTCAGGTGCCTCAGGACAAAAACCACAGTCTGAACAGAGCAGGCTGTGCCTCTCCTGAGGGATTCCCCCTCCTAACATGTTTGGTCTCTTCCGTCACTGCTCTGAAGACAAATATCTTTGCATACTTTGCATACTTTACTAACAGAGAATGCTGACTACTGATAACGATATTCTTCTGGTGTGAAAGTGGGTGTCTTTAATTAATTTTAATGACGGATTCTCAAAGGTACATCAGCAAAACAGTCTGATGAAAATGGGGAGGCTGCCTATGATCTGCCAGGTAAAGTATTCTCTGAAAGCTCTCAAACTTTCTTTCTCTATGATAAAGTTTCTGAAATGTTCCATGACCAGGCGTGAAGCACACCCACCACCCACGCACGCAAAAGAAGTCCTTAGAGATGGAGGGGGTGGGCAGGCAGTTGAGTTAATAATGTGGGATCCAGGCCTTCTTTTTTCCTGTGGGCTTATTGCACACAAACTTTTCGAAGCTGAAATATTTATTAGCCATGGTTGCTGGGTTTACATTCTCTTGCTATTGTAAACAAAGCTAGAAAAAGCTTTTCAAAAGTCAGAATTTTTGACTGAGGTGAAAGAATTGTGCCAACTCCGTCCAAGGTCTTGGTTCTGAGCTGTGTTTCCACTTTCCGTAGACATGTGCTTCTTTTCTTCATACATGAGGGCATGGTCAGCGTCCATATGCTCTTATTAGTGTCTCATAATAATAGACCAGCCAAGATAAAACAGAGACGATGTATGACTATAGAGGTCGGTGTCTCATTTGTAAGAATAACATTTTCCTGTTTTTCTGAACTTTAACATATATATATATATATATATATATATATATATATATATATACACACATATATATATATTAGATATAGATATAGGTATAGATATAGATATATGGCTAAAATCATGGTTACATCCATCATTATAAAACTAAATTGGAATAAAACTCCTGCCAGATTCTTGGGGACCATTACTGTTATGCAGGAGACCCTAGTATCTGAATAAAAGGTTTTTAAGAAATAGCAGAATTTGATTATCCTCCTTCCTGTTCTTTAAGTTAGCCATTCTAGGATGTTTTTTTTCCACTTAAATATGAAAAATGCCCATCCACATAGTCTGAGTCCAGGCCAAATGACTTAATTATGAGTAATATACTAATTTGAAGTCAACTGTATCAGTTAGGGTGATTTTTTTTCACTAAACACCATTTCTCCTTTTTTTAAAAAATGGATTTTAGCTGAGAACTGGATAACTGCAAACACAGATCTGATTGACAAGACCAAGTTCACCATCACGGGTCTGCCCACGGATGCAAAGATCTTTGTGCGTGTGAAGGCTGTGAATGCAGCCGGCGCCAGCGAGCCCAAATACTACTCTCAGCCCATCCTTGTGAAGGAAATCATTGGTAAGTGGCAAGGCTTTCACAACTTTGTCTCCGTTTCACATTATTTGCTTTTATTATTGTTAACCCCTTTCTCAAAACTTCCGAGTTCACTGTCTCTCCTTTGAGGTTTAACAATGCCTCCTGGGAGTTAGAAATGAACAAAGTAGCTCTTTGCAGGGAGTGTGGAGGTCAGCCCTGGGATTTATAACTCGCTAGCCTCCCCAGGTTCCTCACCACTGACATTGAAGAGAAAGAGTGTGGACGCAGCAGTGCAAACAATTCCTACAGCAGCCAAGTGGCTCAGGTGGGCCTGCAAGGTCAAAGTCATTTTCATAATAATTTGCTCTGAAGGTGCAAAAGCAGTGGTGAGTAAAACTGGTGGTGCCTTAGCACAGATCAAGTCAGTGCTATCAAACTGTTCTAGTCATTCTGTTCTTCACCACCATGCACTCACAGTTAAAATAAAAGTAGGCCAATTTTGCCTTGGAGTGTCCTTGATGTGGCATAAAAATTATTAATGTTTTTAAAGCTTGGTCCTTGAGTACACATTTTTCCTAAACTCTGTGACAATGAAATGGAAAGCATGTATACAAAATAAAGCCCTTGTGCACAATGTTTGTGTCTAGGAAAAGCCCTGGTATGACTGAGTTAGAGGCTGAACCGGTGATGTTTTTCATGAAATTCCATTTTTCACTTGAAAGAATGACAGCGTGATAATGTCTAGTCAGAGTGGGGTATCTGGCAGACATGTTCTAGAAAATGAATGAAGTGAACCTGTCACTTCAAGGAAAACATTTTACAAGGAAATACTTCAAGGAAAACATGTTGTCAGTGAAAAAATTTGAACTTTTAAGCAAAATTAGAATTTTGGAAAAGTTGTGTTCACCACCATGGACTTGACAGCTTTCCAATACTTAAAAACTTTTCTGATGAAACATGTGGTGATATTAATGAACGTAATTTTTGGTATTGAGTAATGGAATGTGTCAACATTGGGAAAATCTGCCATGGTTCAGTGAAGCAATATTTTCTAAGTGACTAATACATGTTAAAAAATCATGCATGTGTAAAAGGTATATTCAAAATGCATGATAGACCAATGGATTTTAATGTAACAGTATGAAAAGTTCATTGAAATGTTTTCAGATTCCACGTTGCAGCTAACCTTTAAGAAACTACAGTTTATCGTGTTTTAGTGTAGAAGCAAAGAGACACATCTACAATTGTCTGAAAAGTGTATTAAAATATGTATTCCTCTTATCTGTGTGAAGCCAGATTTTCTTCAAACTCTTCAACCAATACAACATACTGCAACAGATTAAAAGCAGAAACAAATATGAGACTCCTGCTGTCTCTTTTTTGTCAGACATTAAAGAGATTTGCCAAAATATAAAATAATGCCACTCTATCACTAATTTTTTGTTAATGTAAAATAGGGTTGTTTCCATTAAAATGTCGTTTAGGTTATTATTTTAATGAATAATTAATTAAATATTTCAAAATTTCTCAGTTTTAATTTCTAATATGGTAAATATTGGTAGATAGGGCCTAAATAAACAAAAGCATTTTTTGGGGGGTAGGGGAGTCCTTGATAATTTTTAAGAATGTGGTAGGATGCTGAGACCAAAAAGTTTGAGAATTGCTGCTCCAGGGGAAAGAACAGTGGACGGGGGCAGTGCCTGGATGCCTGAGTCTGGACCATGTTCTGCCACAGACTTATAGTGTGACTGCCTGAAACATTTGGGAGTGAGTTAGAAGATGGAGGGAGGGAGAGAAGGAAAGAGGGATAGATGGATGGATGGATGGATGGATGGATGGATGGATGGATGGATGGGAATATGAAGCATGAAAGTTTTTTTAGCAGATCCTGGTGACAGGATAAGTTGAACCTCTACATAAGTTGAACCATGTTTCCATCATTTATTAGCTCTGTGGTCTCAGGCAAGAGACTTGATCTTTCTGAGCCTTAATTTCTTCATCTGAAAAAAGGAGATAGTAATAGTAACTTACCACATCAAGAGTTGTGAGAATTAAACTAATTATTCCATGTTGCTTGCCTCATAGAGTGCTTGCCACGTAATAAGCCCTCAATATGTATTAGCTCTTATTCCGATAAGGTTCAGTTTGCTGCAGGACCTTGCCAAGTCCCCTTTTCCTCATACAATGTTAGGGAGTTGAGGATCTCCAGGTTTTCTTCCAACCCCAGCATTCAGTTGTCTTTGTCTTCCTCCTCCTCCTCCTCTTCCTCCTCCTCATCATCATCTCTAAAGTTTACTATGCTTACTCTGCTCAACCATTAGGCTAAATGCTTTACATGAACAGCTTTATTTAACCCTCATAACAACCCTACAAATTAGATGCTGTTATCATCCCTATTTGATAGAACAGGAGCCTGAGACCAGATCTACTGTGTGTCTGATCTAGAACTCAAACCCAGATCTGTGACCCTGCCATACCTGCTTCTAAGGAAGCACAGGCACTCAAGGCTGACTCCAGGTTCTAATCCTGGCCGTGTCACCGAGAGCAAGTTACTTAAACTCCTGTGCTTCTGTTTCTTTGTAAAAGCAGTACCTGGCCCCGAAAGTGGCTGTGAGGTTCAAAGCGGTCCCCTCATGAAATGCATTTAGCCGAGTGTCTGTCACACACTGAGCACTCAGGGGATGAGGCCTGCTTCATCTCCGTAAGCTTAGAGCCTTTGACTCCCTGCTCTTGATGGGTTTGCAGCAACATGTTCTAGTGTCTTCACGGTGTTTAATTAATACATGGTGAACATTAATGCACAGTAGGCTGGGGCTGCCTGTTCGGTATTTCACTACAGTCACATAGGGAGAAAGTTACTATCAAGTTTCAATAGAATTACCTAAATAGCAAGTGCTAAGTGCTAAAACTTTTTATTTTGTTTTATTTTTTTTTCTGGTGAAAAAGACTAGGAAGTCCTACCAGCTAATGTGGTCTCTACATTTTTATGGACTGTTCATTGGAGAATATAGTCACTGTTGAAAACTATGAAAAATAGGTCCCAAGAGAAAATTTGGTGTTTTTCTATAAAGGTGCTTTAGGCTTGTAATGACAATAAAAATAGGAAGTTACAGTAAAATCACAGAGGCCAAGGATAAACGTTGTTGCGTTAAACTCTTAAAATGTCTCTTAGAAGAAAATACATGGAACCAAAGTTACCGTATATAATCTGTTAGTGGCACATCTAAACTTTTACTGCAGGGACATGAGCATAATGATATCCCAGTGAGCATCACGCTAGTATGACAATGTAAGGCTACTTGCAGCGTACTATTACTGATCACAAAATTGTGCTATTCTCCTCTCACTCAGAGCCTCCAAAGATTCGCATCCCAAGGCACCTGAAGCAAACCTATATCCGCAGAGTTGGAGAAGCTGTCAACCTGGTTATACCTTTCCAGGTAATAACTCAGGGGTTGCTCCCTTTCTCTTTCCAGTGCTGGGGCGTTTAAGAAGTAGAGGGAGGTGCTCTAGTATTTAAGTTCTTCATGAGCCAGGATTTCCTCAGAGGGAGCCAGGGAAAGAGCGGAAGAGATTTGGGGAGTGAGAAACAGTCTCCTACTGTAAAGGTAGAAACATCTATAAAACTGTCATAGATTTTCCTTCTGCATGAGACACATGAGACCGAGTCTCATCTGAAGCCCAGGGACTGTGGTGGGGCATGGAGGAAACATTCAGGGGATACCAAAACAAGAAATGCTTGAAGATTCTTTCTGATCCTGTACATCTGTAAAACTGATCTTCCGGTCAAGTGACGTTCTAACAGTCAGGAAAACAACATGTGCTTACTTCCCATGATTACCCCAAGGCAAACTAAAGTCCAGTAAGGCGGATACCTGACATTTGATATCTCGATGCCACTACCTGAAATAAGTGAGCATTGTTAAATCAATGCTCCAACAAAAGAACCAGGCTTTGGCTACAATAATCAGTTTCTCACACACACACACACACACACACACGCACGCACGCACGCACGCACACACTCACTCACTCACACTGCACCTCCACACCCTTGCTCACCTGACTCCTCTTTTGCCTCTAGACAGCCCTGTTTAATAGAACTTTCTGTGGTGATGGAAATGTTCTCTATCTGCACTGGGCAATATGATAGCCGCCAGCCAAATGTGGCTATTGAACACTTGAAATGTGCAACTAGGAACTAGTGTGAATTTTAAAGTTTTCTTATTTTAGCTTAAAAAAACACATGTAGCTATTATATCACCCAGCATGGCCTTAGAATTAGAATTGAGGTCCCTGTACACATTTGAACACACACAAACACACACACACACACACACACACACACACACACACAGTTCATTCAGACCCTGGGCCCCCACGAAAGCCAAGCTAACTGGACTGTCAGTTCAGGCCACCGTCACACTGCATTCGCCCCCCCCCCCCTTAGAAGAGGCAGTTATCTTCTCCATACACAGGGTGTGAAATCAGAATGAAAGCCAGGCAGGATGTTAGTGTAAACACAGCACAGGAGGAAGGGGATGACTTGGCAAGATTTCTTCCACTGCTCTCCTCCAAAAGCCTCAAACAAAACCAGAAGCTGGGACAAGGCAGGCACTCGGGATGCAGACCCAGGCCTGGACTGGGGCTGCTGAGTCATTTCTATCACTAGGGCTCTGTTCTCAGATCCTGAGGGTCTGTGTAACTCAGTGTCTGTCACTTAGGTCTGGGGTTGGAGAGAACATAAGAGCAGGGACCTCACAGACATGGCATCCCAGGGGCTGCTCAGCTGCCAGGAAGGGGGTGACGAAACTGTGCCATGTTTGCATATTTGTGTAACCTCTAGAGTTCTCCTAAACATTTTCTCATTTAATTCTAAGAAACACCTGGTGAGTCAGTAAAGGCTGATTTCTTTATCCTCATAGAGAAGGGAAGAAACTCACAGAGAAGTTAAATGACTTGCCCAAGGTCACACAGCAAGTAAATGTCAATGCCAAGAGCAGTCTATATCTCCTGACACTTAATCCAGTGTTGTTGTTTTTCATGCCATATGTTATCAGACAACTCAATGTTTTCTCCAGTAGCTAATAGCATATTGTACATTTAAGGAAATTAGACCTGGAACTATTTTTCCATGTCTTTAACAATATTGTTCTCTACTTCCCGTGTGCAAGTCTGAGCACGCCCAACCATCCTTCAAACTCGGTGGGCAGGGGTTTGATGTGTGCCTCTCACATTCATTATCATAACCTATCAGCAAGCCACGTTAGGAGCCTATACAAAGGCTGTGCCTTACCGGACTAAATAAATGCTTGGTTGCTGTCTGTGGGGTGAGCCTAGGTGCTCAGGAAGCCTACGAGGTTCCTTTGTAATATAAACTGAAACTCATGTCCTTGAGTGAGATTATAATTCCTCAAAGTCTGCTCTTAAAGAATAGCTTCAGCAGCTAGCGAGGACAGAGAAAGAATCATAGACAAGTCTGAAATAAGCAGCATGGTACAGTGCAATAGTAATCATTAACACTTAGAGGATATTAATAAAACACTAATGCAGTATACAGAAGCTTTACTAAGAATGTCAATCTTCATAAACACCCTGTGAGATAGGTACAATCCTTGTTCTCATTTTACAGATTGGGAATCTGAGGCACAGAGAGTTTAAGTAACTTGCCCAAGGTCACACAGCTATTCAGTGGTGGAGTCAGGATCCAAATCTTGGGCCCCAGAGCCCATGCTCTTACCCAATATGCTGTATTGTGCAGGCTTTGGAGCTAGAGAGACCCGGCCTTGGGCAAGTCATTTAACTCCTTATCCAAAAAATGAGGATAATAATACTATCTCGATATGAAGATTAAAGGAAATGATAAAGTACATGTAGCTAACACAGTGCTAACACAGTCACCCACCCCCAGGCTGTTTTCCAACCTTGCCTAGTATGGCATAAGCCACTGTCATTATCTGTCCTGCTGAAAAACATCTTCAGACCACCTGATTTCCCTCCCCCCTCTGTCTTCTTTTTAGGGAAAACCAAGACCAGAGTTAACTTGGAAGAAGGATGGTGCAGAAATTGATAAGAATCAAATAAATATCCGCAACTCTGAGACTGACACCATCATATTTATCAGAAAAGCAGAGAGGAGCCACTCTGGGAAATATGATTTGCAAGTCAAAGTGGAAAAATTTGAGGAAAACGCATCGATTGATATCCAGATCGTTGGTAGGTTTGGAAAAAGGAGCTAGAATGTTCTGTCAAAGCCGTGTTCGGACTAATTGTTCTTGTCATTAAGGCTAGAATAAGAATTTGAATTTTGGCTGGCTGGATATAAACTTCTTTTTTTAGAATTTTTTAAACAATAAATAAATTAGTAACATTTGTTAGTATTTCAAAATAATTTTTCACTGACTAAAAGAACTAATCATGGGAGATGTAGGGCATATGAGTTAAAGAAAATTAATTTATATACTTTTTAGTGAAAACGATCTGTATTGCTTTACAATCCAGTCCTCTATTACTGTTTCTCAACTCCTCAATGATAAAACTACTTCCTGTGTTGAATTCTTGCATAAAAAACATTGTAGATTCTAGATGTAGTTTGACATGTTTCAATTACACTTAAAATTTGCAAATAATAAAGTTTTAATAAAGAATGAAGAAATTTTACAAAATGTAAGGAAGATGTGCATGAACTAAGTTAAACAAATACTGAATTGGTTGATCCTGCAGGGCTAGTTAGACACTTACCTGCTCAAATAATAAATAAGGTTCGTTCGTTCTTTATCCAGTTAGGGGAATAGAGAGAAGACCTCTTACAGATGGACCCCTGTCACTTGAACTATTCTAGAAGTTTTGCAATGTCAGGAATAAATTTAAGAGCAGAGGTAGGAGAAGCTTTGTTTCCAGTCATTTTTATTATTAAATTTCAGCAAATTTGATGAAATTAGAGGTTTTCTCACCAGAGGAGCAACTTCCTATGGCAAGCCTTCCCACCGGTGAAAGTTCACGACTTTAAACTAAGCACTCCTACTGACTAAACCTTCTTGATTTTTGTTAAGTTGGGGGGAGTGTTAGTTTGTGCCCTCGGATCTGGCCTGGCTGCACTCTAATGGCAGCCCCATGGAAGGGTGTGGTAGACCACTGCCCTCTGAAACACAGGAAGGACATTTTATTTTTCTATTTGGCCATGTAGTTATTTTACCAGGTAGTTGTAAGTACCTGGCACATCTCTTCCACGAAGTGTTCCATAAATAGGAACAATTATTATTCTAATTATTTTATGAGTTCCAAATTTATGTGTCTGCCATGACAGTAAAACTCTAGCAATGCCATTTACTATAGGAGAGCAAGTGTTTGAAAAGTCAGTGTGAGCTTTGAAGATGAAATGGACCTGCATGCAGCTGGGATGTTGGATGTTGGACTGGAAAAGACGACTGTCTGTAGGATGTGTTGGTGAAAACGGGAGATAGAAATTCATGGCTAGTAATGGTGGAAAGAATGGAGGGTTATCCCTGTGGCTTCCCCCTCTGAACCCGTGAAGACTGCTTGGTAAAGCACATTTAAAAGAGAAAAACATTACCAGAAAGCACACTGCAGTTTGCTCTTTTCTGTCTGACATTTCCTATAAAAATAATTACAATTGCATTTTAATACCTGAAAAATATTTCAGGGCAGAAATGGTGATACTTGTACTGAGAAGGACAATAGATGTGAACTTTCTCTGAAAAATTAAGAACTACTAGGCAAATATATAATATAATGATTGTCCTTCCTTCTGCCTCTGTGATGCTTTTGGGGGGGGGGCCTGCCAATCAAGACTTAGTTTTCTTGACTCTTTGGCCTTCCTGAACATTACTGCAATTTCCTGGAAGGTCAGAGGTCACAGAAATTCATGTGTCGCAGAAGTTAAAGTAAGGGAAGGCTTCGTTATGTAACTATGCATTTTAGTTACATAAATTGGAAACACTGGATAAATACAAGTAAATCTTGGAGGGAGAGTTGGCAGCACGATTAAAAACAAGTTTTCCTCACGCCCGTTAAAAGGTGCCTTTTGGGTGCAACAGAGGAACCCACTCACAGGCTGTGGGCTCGGTGCCTCTCACCAAAAGCTGGCGCTGCTCAGCCCAGGTGGGCTCTAATTTCAAGTTTGGCGTCAGTTTACATTTCCAATTAGACAGGGTGGCATTCGGAGTCAGTGCCAATAGCCTGCTCCTAAAGGGATGGCTAATAAGGTTTGAAGTTTCATTTAACTTTTTTTGAAAATCCTTTTATTTCCATGAATATGCATGTCAGGAGTTTCCACATAAGCTTAGCTGGAGTGCATTCTCTGAAGTTACTAATGGTGAAATAAATATGGATAGAACTGCAGGGAAGGGAAGGACATTTTAAAATATCCTCCTGTAACAAGGTATCGGTTGAGAAGGAAAGTCACCTCCCACTGATGCCATGATTTCATCCTGTAGACCGTCCAGGTCCACCCCAAGTTGTGAAGATTGAGGATGTCTGGGGAGAGAATGTTGCCCTATCATGGACACCACCAAAGGATGATGGAAATGCGGCCATTACAGGGTACACGATCCAGAAGGCTGACAAAAAGAGCATGGTAAGGCCTGGCTTCCTCTGGTTCAGCAGCAGCAAAGTCAGATTTCATCAGAAATAAAGGAGGAGGCGTGAGGTCCTCTCTGACGAGGAACTCCATGGAGAAGTGATAGCCTCGCAGAAAGGGTAAGGCTTTGGATCCACAGAGAATTGGACTTGAATCTCACTTGTATATGGACAGTCACTTAACCCCACCTTCCTCATCTATAAAGTAGGGACACAAATACTTACTTTGCTTGGTTATCTTGAGGTTAAAATGATATAAAGCAGATGGTACAATGCTCAATAGAATTGAATAAATTCACTCATTCAACAAATACTTACTCACTCTGGATTCTGACTCAGATTTACAACCCATGCAGCTCTTTCTCCGTGTAAAATGTTGGATAGTGTGGACAAAAAAACACCAGTTAGAAAAGAAAGATTCTAAAAGGAATAGCATGTGCAAAGGTCCTGAGGAGGAGAGTCAGCGCCTATTCTTAGAGACAGCTCCTATACTCTGTCTAGACAAGAAGAATGACATAAAACCAAATGACAAAACAATATAATAAATGTTGGAATAAAAGTTTACATAGAGTGCTTTGAGAATCAAGGAGGGTATAAGTACATTTGTCTGCTATCTTAAAAACATACAAAATACATATATAATGATTTCTCCTAAAAGTTGCAAGGAAAATCCTTTCCTTTGTATTTTTGTCAGTAAATATATTTTCTCAATCAGTGGTCCTAAACATATGTGGTACAATGGGAATTTCTACTGGTTGCAAGATAAACCTTGAAATCACTGTATTTCTTGGTAAGGAAAAAATTAATAGTTTTAGCTTCTCATTCATTCTAGTATTCAATAAACATTTATTTTATGCATAGTACCTACTATGTGCCAGGTACTGTGATAGATACTGGGGATACAAAGTATGAGAAGAAAAGTCTGTCCTGGGGTAGCCGGTTAGCTCAGGTGGTTGGAGCGCAGGCTCATAACACCAGTTTGATTCCCACATGGACCAAGGAGCTGAGCCCTCCACAACTAGATTGAAACAACTACTAGACTTGGAGCTGATGAGTCCTGGAAAAATACCCTTTTCCCCAATAAAAATTTATTTAGAAAATACAAAACAAAACAAGAAAATTCTGTCTCTACCATTATGGTGTGTTCATTCCAGTGATGGGGGGGTGGGGGTGTAGAAAACAAACAAGTGAAATAGTAAATATGTAATATAATTGAAGGTAGCAAGTGCTATGAAGAAAACTTAGCCAGGTTAAGGTGACAGAGCGTGGCCAAAGTAGAGTAATGGAAGGAAAATAACCTATATCAATAATATTAAGCAGATTTGTTGAATACTATTAATTTTTCTCTAGTGATTTAGCATCATCTCTTCCTCAGAATAGATAAGTTGGCACTAAAATTCTATAATTATATTTTGTTATACAAAAGATAGATGAATAGGTAGATAGATGACAGACTTTGTACAGTTATGAAGAAAATATAAAGGTAACAGTTGACATCAAGGGTATATGATTGTAATGTGTAAGTGCAGATTAAATTACATAGTCAAGGGTAAGTCAATTATAAAGTGTTAAACAAATTAAATGTACATTATTACTGTCAATATAAAAATTGGTGCTACTTTTCTTTTAGTTAATGAAACATCCTGTTATTTATTCTAAGCAACAGTTGGAATAGTTGTGTATTTTTAAGTGATTTTCCTCGTTTTTTTTTTTTTTCTTTCAGGAATGGTTCACTGTCATTGAGCATTATCACCGAACCAATGCCACCATTACTGAGCTGGTCATAGGAAATGAATATTACTTCCGGGTCTTTGCTGAAAACATGTGTGGTCTCAGTGAGGATGCAACAATGACTAAAGAAAGCGCTGTGATTGCCAAGGATGGTGAGTTAGTAGTGGACTGGTAAAAGGGGGTTCTGGACCTAATTTCAGTGTATGGGGGTTTGGGGGAGTTTCCCCCACACCACCAAGCAATTCTCAGACACCAGCTAGGTTCCTACAATTCAACTCAATTCTGACACTATCTACCTTAAGATAACATCAGATCTCACAGGTTAAGGGTTCAATCCCACAAGAATATCCCCTAAAACCCCACTTCAGATGCCAATTGCAAGTCCAGGTTGTCACCTGTGCTTCTGACAAACAGGCTATAAATCAGAGGTTCCGATAACCCTCTCCTCGGGGTTCTGTTTATTTGCTAGAGCAGCTCACAGAACTCAGAGAAACGTTGTATTTACTCAATCACTGGTTTATTATAAAAGATTAAAACTCAGGAATAGCTAAACAGATGAGATCCATAGGGCAGGGTATGGGGAAAGGGCACAAGGTTTCCATGCTCTCAGAGCCCTGTGACTCTCCTAGAATCTCCACGTGTTCACCAATCCAGCAACTCTAGTGACTGGTCCTTTTGGGGTTTTATGGAGGCTTCATTACATAACCATGATTGATGAAATCTTCAGTCACTCTCCCTTCCTTGGAGGTCTTGAGGTGGAACTGAAAGTTCCAATCAATCACAAGATTGGTTCCACTGGCAACCAGCCCCCATCCTTGGGTGGGGTCCAAATGTCAGCTAATTTACACAACAAAAGACGCCATTATAGCTCTCATTGCTTAGGAAATTTCAATGGGATTTTTTTTACCCTGAGCTTTGTGCCAGAAATGGGATGAAGACCAAATGTGTATTTCTTATTATAAATCACAATGTCACAACTGGACATCTGGAAACCTTGGTTTTCAGTGACTAGAGAAGACTGAAAGAAGAAGGTAATGTGGTGAAAGAGAATAAGAAAATGGTAAACACATTATTAAATACTGGTAACAATGTCCCAGTAAAACATTAATTTTACAAGTAAAATTTTTAGAGGAAAATGATATTATCATTACATTTTCTAAAATAACAAGCTTTAATGTATTCTAACTTCTGGGCAGTTGGTGTATAATTGACTGAAAGCACAGGGAGAGGAAAAAGTATAGACATTGACATCTGGAGCTTGGGTTACTTTTATTCTTGGACACCTTCAATGTAGCTACACAGGAGACCCAGGAAATGGGTGAAACTGAATTCTGTTCCTCTCATTTCATTTCCTCGGGAACCACTCTCCTTAAAGCTCTTCTTCATTCCTTTCCCATTCAAATGCATTGCTGACCAAAATACCCAGATACTGAATCCTTCTCCATATTTGTTTCAGTTTCAGACAACCACCCTGGCTGTCTTGCCCATGTGTGATTGGCTGTACATTCGTCCCCTTCAGAATGAATGCCATGTGGCGTTCACTCATGTTTTTACATGTTTTTCTAAGCTGAGGGAAATTTTAATCGTGAGTAGAGTATGCCAAGAATAATATATTCTCAGGCCAATTTGTATATTTCTAATGCTTGTTTTTAAGGTAAAGTCTATAAAAATCCAGTGTATGAAGACTTTGATTTCACAGAGGCGCCCATGTTTACTCAGCCTTTGGTTAACACCTACGCTATAGCTGGGTACAATGCCACGCTGAACTGCAGTGTGAGAGGAAATCCTAAGGTACCATGTTTTATTTTTTTTAAAAAACACATCAGTTAAATTTAAGAATGAACCCCAAACTCAGTTTGTATTTTCCACATTATAAATGTAAAGTCGTAATATGGACTGACCCTCCAACTGCTATTTGTATCTTTTTCTGGGGTTGGGAGGGGGTTGAGGGGGGTGGTGTTGGTGGATAATCAGGTACACTATTAATTGGGTTGTCGGAAAAGTCATGACACATTTTTGCGACGAAAAACATAGAAAAATACATCATGACTTTTCTGACAACCCAATAGATGTAGTAGTAAAAATGTTTATATTTATTTACTGCTAAGTGATGCCTTTCTAAGGAAAAACCAAACCACGTATTTTAAAAAAGAACTGAGAGGTAAGCAATGTTTCACCTGAAATATGAGGTGGTAATATTCGTTCATCAAGATTAAAGCAAATGATCCTAAAATGCAAGGCAGAATTTAAAATGTGCTGTATTAAGAGGACAGAGCACTAGGAAAGGAGAAATCGCACCTGATGAAGAGTTACAAAGATTTCAAGGTTTCATGGTGTTGCATTTGAGAAAAACAACCAATTAATGAATGTCGCCCATAGAGATATCTACTTCTGTGTAGCGCTGAGGGAGGGAGCCCTAGAATTTGGAAAAAGTGCAAATAGTGGTATTTTCCAGCAAATACCATAAACAGAAATAGGGACATCAAAGAGAGAAGCCAGATGAGAATGGGAAGAAGCAGATGAATTCATGTTTAATTGGAAGTGACATTGGTACATCCAAATGGGAATGACCTGGACAGAGGAGAGGGTCACCGGCATAGGAGAGAGGGCAGGCAGGCCTGTGACTCTCAGCTGAGGGGTCCCCAGACATGGGGGTGCTACATCCCACCCCGTGGAATGGAAGCTCTCGAAAGAAATACCATTAAGAAAAGAAGGTAGTGAGCAAAACGCCAAGGACCAAGGTGTGAGCCTCAATGAATGCTCAATGAAGGTGGAAGGAGGAAGAAAACAGTGTGAAGAAGAAAGAGAAACATGATCTCTGGGGTCTGAGAAAAGCAAAATCATATAAAAGGTGGAAAAGGGAATGCGGAGGGTGTGCCTCTGCATAAGGAAGGACAAGACAACATGAAAAAGGAGGAGAGAGTCAGTGATGTTAAATGTAGTTCAAGGACAAGGAGAATGGAGTCACTTTCCCGGGCGATTAGGTTATGACAGATCTTGAATTACCTGTTTGGAGAATGATGGTGATGAAAGCAGATGTCAGAGGACAGACTAAATGGTGAGGAGGCATAAGCAGCCCACAAATAATTCAGAAAGAATATCAGGAAAAGGAAGTGGAGAAAATCAGATGGTTATGACACCTTATGGGGATTCTCTGAAAAAAATGCCCAGTGCTATAATACTCTCTTGGATGAGTTAACCGCATAGACCTGTAGATCAAATTGAAATGCAGCTGAGTCTGTTTGGGAAGATTGCCCCAGAGCTGTCCTCTGAACAAACCTGGCTGGCTTCTTCAGAACTGCTTATTTGGTCTCTTGCCAAGCTCTAGGTAGAATTTAATTTGAGAGAAACAGTGCCCAAGTGCAAGTGGATTCTTCTTAGATGTGCTTTCTTTCCATGCCATGCTTGAAAATTCTGTCACTGGCTCTGATGGCCTGTGAATACGCTAAGCACAGATATGTTTGCACCTCATTTACTTCAATATTAATTTCAGCCCAAAATCACCTGGATGAAAAACAAAGTTGCTATTGTGGATGATCCAAGATACAGGATGTTCAGCAACCAAGGGGTCTGTACATTGGAGATTCGCAAGCCCAGCCCCTATGACGGGGGCACTTACTGCTGCAAAGCAGTCAATGACCTTGGGACAGTGGAGATCGAATGCAAACTGGAGGTGAAAGGTATGATGTCCAAGATCTTGGGGATAGGATAAAATGAAAGAAAATCATTAATTGTTGTCCTTACTGCAGAATCCAAATTGTTTGCCAAAATGTTCTGTGGTGGAGGAGGGGAAGAGCATTTGGGGAGAGAAGACATTTTTTATATTTTGCATTCACTCTTGATTTATTCGTGAGGGCTTCTTGGTTATTTTATTAGGCTTAAGTTTATCTCTTGCAATTCTTGTTAACTAAAAAAATATAAATTTCAGTGGTATGTGCACAGCATGGTGAGAATAAATAAAGTCAAGGAGGTATTATTTTGGTGAGGTAGTCCATCTATAAATAGAAGCCTAGTGCAAAAACTTACCTAATGAAACTGCAATTAAGGAATTTACACAATTGTTAATTAGTTTACTGTTTTCTGAAACTTTCAATATACATGGGTAAGTTTGCTAATTTAGTGTACAATATTACACATGTGGAATATAGCATACACATATTTTTACCAGTTGCTTTTAAAAATCTCAGAGAATTTCCATTTACAGGAATGCATTTCGTTTATACTTGTTTTCAGAAGTTTGCAACCAATGAAGTCAAGAAAACATATAAGGATTACTATGGTAGAAAAGTCTCAGCATAACCTGTCATATTAATCAATTTTCATATTAATTGAGTATAATTGAGTACCCTCAAGTTTTTTCTTGACAAAGCCTACTTTGGGACACCATGAAAACTCCTACAGCTGTCAAAGTCACCATTATGAGATAATAGGTGACATGTCCTAATGTGCTTTCTCTTATCCTTATTGTATTGTCTTGCCTTTCTGTGATAACTTATGTCTTTTTTCCTATACCCTATAATGAAGAAATTATGATCTAAAAAAAAGATTATCTTGTAAATATCTAGTTTAGAAAAAACATGGTAAATGCTTAGGGTATTTATGTTTAAAAAAAGTTTTTTAGTCTTAAATTTAGTATAAAATAGTAAAGAAGCTTCTTGAAAAGATTTCCTTTTATAACTTTAAAAAAATATTATTCTTTCTCTTATGATCTCTGTCCATCCTCAAGTAATACAGTATAGTGGATTCATAACTGAGTGAGGGAAAAATATTTTTTGTTTTATTTTCCTTTCAAATATAAAACAACATTCTTAGGATGTTTCAAACTTTACTAAGATAGTGCTTACAAATTTAAACGTTATTATTTTAGCTACTTATTAGCTTTAAATGCAGATTAAAGTCACAGTTGCAAATATATCCGGTTTCTAAACTCCTAGCCTTATTAGTTCCAAGGTATTGCTGGTATTTATGTTTCAACATCCAAAAAACAAAAATCTAGTACCACTTCTGAGTGCTTTGTGAGTAACTGAATGTTGCTAATGATATAAAATGATGATTTCATAAATGGTTCAACATTGGGGGTCCTCCATGAAAGCTAATAATGTTATGCATGCTCAACATGTTATATATAGTAATTGTATAGTGCATTATATAGTAATTGAATTTAATAATATAAATAATGTATTCTGGTACAAAAGTTCATAGTAAGATAGCAATTTATAATATATTGGTAAAAGCTTTTGGTCCTAAAGTAAAGCCACGATTGTTTATCATCAGATTGTCTGATAATGGGTGACTTGAATCAAGTTAAGCTATGAAAAATAAAGTTAAGAATGTCAATCAAGAATAAATAAATACTGGTACAAATATTCTAATTCTACAGTGATATATCAAGGAGTAAATACCCCTGGACAACCATTCTTCTTGGAGGGGCAGCAACAGGTTTTAAAAATTCGTATCCCACTGGATATTCTACTTTCTGTTCCATTCCTCTTACATGAAATCGCATTTTGCATGTAAAGCTTGACGTTCTGATTTGCTTTTAATTATATTTTTTAGCAGCTCATGGCATACAGTGTTTATGCCATGAACAAGGAAGGCCAAATTATTCAAGGATATTAAGTAATGTAGGAGTTAAGTTTTGTCAGAAAACTAAGTACCATACCACAGGTCCCCATAAAGAAATCCAGGAAGCTACATTTGAAGATGACCTTGTTTTAGATATAAGATTATCAAAACCTAGGACAGTGGCATTTCTTTAATATTTTCATTTTTCATAGATCAAGAGATCGGATCTTCCTTTAAGATAGTTTCCTTAGGTTCATGTTGAAACTCAGAAAACTGAACATTTTTAAGTTGCTACATTATAGAAAAAGTGTTCTGGTTCATTTTTGATGGAGCGAGGCCACAAATTAAAATAAACCCAATATTTGGAAACTTTCAGTTAAGAGTTTCCAGTGAAAAATTCACCAGTAGAATATCTATAACCCATCTATCTTTGGTCCCATTTTCATGGGACCAAAAGTATTTCATATATTTACGAATGAAAATGAGAGAAAAATTCTAGGCCCCAGTACTAAATGCATTAAGCAATAAATGAGCCCTATCGTATGTGTATGATTCACTTCCATTTGGAAGAGTGAATTAAGAAGTTCTTTGGGGCTTGGTAAGCAACCCAATGTAAACTTTAGTGACATAGATCTATGCCTGTGTTTACAATATTTTCTCTGTGACTCCCCAGAGATAATGTCAGCTTTCAAAAGAGGAAAGAATTAGGGTTCTTTCTTTAAAGTTTTTTAGATTATACACATAGTCACTTTCTAGCATGTTTGTCTAAGCCTTGTGTTTATTTAAATCAGTCATATATAACCAGTTCAGAATACAACATTCTAGAATATACTAGTCTAATATTTTTATCCACTTGATAATTTTGCCTTTTAGAATTTCAACATATATATATGTACACTAATGCTTTGTCTCTTATCCCTGTTTTTCTTTTGTTGAAAAACACAATATATATATGTTGTAGGGGTTTTTTATTTTTAAGCTAATGGTTTGGAAGCTCTCACTGTAAATATTCACTGTACAATCACATTAGCTTTGCCACCTGTTTAGGCAAAGTGGTTGTACATATTAATAAATGTTTCACATATTAATGATCCTTTTGAAGTGACTGGATCTCTGCTGTTCATTTCACGCGCTTCTCTGTTCCTACATCTTTCACATGACTAAGGATTAATGAAATCATCTCATCATAATCATGACCATAATTTCATTCAACAAGTACTCAACTTTGGTTTTAGCACTTTATTAATACTTACAACTTCTCTCTCTCTCTTTCTCTCCCTTTTCCTTAGTTGTAGCACAGTAAGGATTTTTGAATGTATATTATCATCTAAGGTAAGCTTTCATATGGTTTTTTGGCATATGAAGCTTATGACTGTCATAAGCCATACCAAGCCTGTGGAGTATGGCATGATTTTCATTATGTAATCCAATGAAAATAGACTGTTTAAAATCTCTAACTTTGTAGTTTTTATTTGTATTTCAGTATCTTGAAATTAACAGCTAGTACTTATTCAGCACAACAATTTCCTGTTGACATGAAGCAAGTGGTTGAATGCAGTAGAGCATGAGTTTAAAGCATTTAATGTAGATGAAAATGAGTGATACCCAAGCATTCTGAGCTCTTTGCATCAAGGAATGGACATGTACATAAGTGGCATTATTTCTACAATATGTGACTTGAATTTTTTATTTTAAAAAAAAGGAGAATGACTTTTCCAAATTTGCATTAAAGAAGTTTTAAGAATGTTCAAATGGCATGCTGGTTTTGTCTGGACGTGAATTTATTAGCAAGTAGTGGAGCTTCTCTAAAGGACCATGAAGTGTTATGGTTTCATGGGTTCTCTTGTGAAGGGTACTTTTACTTTTTAAATATAATTCAGAAACTTGGAAGGTAAGTATGAAACTTTAGTAGGTATTTCTCTCACCTTCAGAAGGTATGGGGTAGGTTTTAGTATTTTTAACAAAATGTTTCCCACGTTTTCACTTTGGCCAATGTATAAATAGCCAAAGTGAAAGGAGTAGCCCCTTTTCTCCACTGTGCTTGAGTCAGAACTTGTGCTGAATGTAAAAAGAACATTAACAAACTGGAAATAGTTTTTCCCACTGACACATAATGTGCTATACATTTATTCTGCCATTCACTCAGAATACTTTAATTATCTATAGAGAACCCCAAAACCTCTCAAAAAGCAATAAATACTTCCCGACCAGTTAGGAGTTTAAGCTAAGCTTGAATAATAGGAGGGAACAAAAAACTGCTGTGGGTCGGCCAGGAACTTGCTTTTCCTTCTAGATGCCAAGTGCTTTAAATTCTAAATGTACTAAACCCAGAAGATTTCCAAGTAGGGACTGAATGAACCTTTGTAACTAACTGGAACACAGTCACATTTCCAGGCAGCTAGTCCAGAAGTATCATTTCAGTGATTTTTCACCTCGACGGTTTTGACTTTGCCTTTTCTTTTTTGTCCCCTCTAGGTGGCCTTTCCTTCTGCAGGCTCCTCTTGCAAGGCGTGCCTCCTAACATAATCGATTCGTATTTGCGAGACTTGCAATCAAGCAATCCTGAGGACTACTAAGGGCCTGGGCACTGCCTCTCTGCATGCCACGGCTTTGAAATCTGGTTGCAATGAGAAAGCCTTTTCTGTTTTAACACCAGGCACCTAAGTGTGGCCATTTGTTTTCCCTCCCAGTGTTAAAGAAAAAAAAAAAAAAAAAAAAAAAAAGTTTGCACGGATTGCTTCATTAAAAATTGCAAACAAAATCCCATCAGAAGTCAGCATTTTGATCATTATTGTCTGTGCTTGGTCATGGCACTTTACAAAAAAAGCAAGCTACAGAATAAGCAAAAGCAGTTATTTTAGTTTAAAATAATAGGCTGTAAATGCTTTTTTTTTCCAGAGTAAAAAAAAACAGTAAAACACACCACGATAAAATCTTGAAAACCCATCTTTCTCTTGATCTAAGAGATTTTCTAAGCAAAGCAGAGATGTTTATTTCACACAACCCTGCTTAACACCAGTGGATCTGTGCCTTTTTCCGGTTTGAATGCACTAAAAGACTCCTTAAAGCCTTTCAAACAAGTTTTCTCAACAGAAGGGAAAAATGTATCCAATAAATGCTACAATAAATCTGAAGTGTTTATGATGAGATGACATAGTATTTGTTTTTGTGTTTGGGGTTGTATGCTCAGACAGAGTGAGAACAAAAGGCTGGGAACCAGCCTGGCTACCAAAGTCAGGCCTGACCTCCATCGTGTCGCTGGTTTGACATCCTGGCCAAATCCACCAGAGCTCCTGCCAAAACAGTGAGTCACAGTGACAAGAGAGCTGTTGCAGACTACAGAGCAGTTATAGATTGGGGGTTTGCTCGTGGCATCCATTCAAGTTGATGGAGACCTTCTTCAAAATCTAGAAACTGACAAACATTTGTCCACATCCATAATCTTTTTAGCAACTGCCTTCCCTTTTTCTGATGTTGTAGAGAAAGGTTGAGTTAAGGGTAAAGTACCCCATCACACCACAGGGTTCTGCCTCAGGTCCTGGCTCAACTGTCCTCTTTCCTGATGCCTAGAAAATGGGGAGAAGAAAAGTCTCTCCATTTCAGTCCACACTGGTGACTTCAGAGATGCCTGTGGTCCAGCCCAGTATGGTCCACTGAAAGACACATGCCCCTGCAACTTGCTAGACAAGTGTGGACCTGGGGTCTTTCTGTTCTGAGACCATTGTTAGCTATTTACCTGCTATTTTTAAAGATGTTCTTTGTGGGAACACTGGACAGTTCTACTGCTCAGTACCCGCCTTGGGTCTGGGCAAGAACGACTTCTGCACTTTCAAAAGCCTCAACGCTGGTCCTTCTCCAACCACATCTCCTTACACAAAGCAGGGAGACCATAGAACTAAGGGATGTGCCTACTTGGAACCCTTACCACACCGCTCCTTCTTATAGACTGTACATTAGGGCCTTTTTCCTGGGCTCAAGCCTATCAGGAAAAACCGTGTGGCCAGTATATGCACCCTGAGACCCAAGGGGTGGTCTAGAGGCACCTGTTTGCTGGAAGGTTGGGGTGTGGGGGTGCGACTAGAGCCTGAGGCATCTACATGTGTGCAAGTGAGACCCTTCATGGTGTGATGCAGGAAGGGGCTGTGAAGCAAAGAGCAGGGAGACAGGAGACTGCCAGTGGCCACAGGCCTCTGGCAAGTATCTCTGAAGAATCTGATAATTTTATTGGGCTGTCATATGACATATTTTGTCTAAGTGTTTCAAAGGTCATTTATTTATATAAAGAACAAAGATCAATCAGTGATATACTGCCTGCTTTGTTCGATAACCTTTTGCCATCTTTCAATGAGCTGCATAATTCCTCGTTCATAGAAGGACCTGTCTTTATTTGCGGAAAACTGAACAAGGTACTGATTTACAGCCTCATCTGAATTGAACGTTATACCACGCAAGGAGTTTTGAAGAGAGCGAAACAAGTGGAAGTCTGACAGTGCAAGCTCAGGTGAGTATGGTGGGTGTGGCAACACATCCCATCCAAGCTCCAGTAATTTTTGACAGGTGATCAGACTTGTGTGTGGTCTCGCATTGTCACGATGGAACACAACTTCTTTATAATTAACAAGCTCTGTATGTTTCTGGATGATGGATTCATTCAAACTGTCCAATTGCTGACAGTACACATTTGAATTGATTGTTTGGTTCCTTGGTAGGAGCTTGAAAAACACACACCCTTAAAATCCCACCACGCTGAGAGCATAACCTTCCTCTGATGAATGTCTGCTTTCAATGTCGTTTGGGGCGAATCATCACATCGGGACCAAGACTGTTTGCACACCACATTATTGTAAACAATCCACTTCTTATCTCCAGTTACCAGTCGTTTCAAAAAGGACCATTTTTCTCATGTTTAATGAGCATATTGCAGATGTTTATATGCGCCATCAAATGAACTTCTTTGAGTTCATGCGGAACTCAAATATCGAGCTTGCTTACATAGTCCAGCTTCTTCAAGTGGTCATGAATGCTTGAATGATGGATGTTCAATGTTTCTGCAATCTCTTGTGTCGTGTAACATGGGTTTGACTCAATCAACGCCTTTATTTTGTTGTCATCAACCTTGGTGGGCCTCCCTGACTGAGGAGCGTCATTGAGATCAAAATCACCAGCATGGAATTTCGTGAACCATCGTTGGCACTGACATTCTTGTAGAGCATTGTCACCATAAACTTTATGCAACTTTTCACAAGCTTGACGTGCGTTCTTTCCTTTATGGAAGTAAAACAGTAAAATATGGCAAAAATGCAGTTTGGTCTTCCATCTTCAACATGTAAAATCTCCAAAACTCACTCAAATCGCTCAATTTTTTTTAGAATGAAGCTAGAACTGTCAGCTGTCAAATGACAGCAATAACGTAGATGCGAATGACTCTAGTACTTCCAAAAATGAACTAGTGCCATCTGTTGCAAACATGTGTCATGACTTTTCCGTCAACCCATTACATCCAAACCTGGCCTTCCAGGTCATTATGAGGATATCTTCATGAAGACTACAGGCTACAACTATTTTCTTAACTATCTGTTAGCTTGATTCTTAGCTTCTAAATATCTATGTATATGAACTATAAAAGTTAGGGATCAGGCAGCCCCCAATCTCCATTCCCTTTCCTGTATCCCCTTCTCCCCTCCTTCACCATCCACTCTCACCTCCCTGCTATTACCATTTCCTCCTCGCCACCCACCAAACTCCAGATCTGACTCTCTGTCTCCTTCCTCACTTAAGTTCTCCTGAATGGGATTCTAGAAATATAAATTTGGCCTATTTTTCCCTAGCAGTAAGAGTAGAATAAGGAATAATAACACCAGATAGTATTACCAATTCTCCGTATAATATTAATTGATTTTAAGTTAAACTCTAGTCCCTCTCCCTCTCCACCACCAGACACTGAATCTGTCAACACCCTGACCCCAGCCTCAAGAACTACGTGAAATAAATATTCATCATCTGAGTCAATAAATTAATAAATAAATAAATAAAATTGAACTCTACATTTGTTTTAGTTCCTTATTCCAGGGCCACTAATTACCATCCTTGCACCAAAGATTCAGGTGCTACATGTAGATATTTTTAAATTCCTTTGTAATGAAACTTTGATAAATTGGCGTAGACTAGATAAGCATACCCACCCATTGAATGGCCAGCTCTCCTCATTCTAAGGGCTGTCATCACCCTCTTAAAATCCCTCGATGATCTCTCTCTGTCTCCAAATGCACTGACCTGAGCAATCTCTGGCTGGCCTAGCTGAATATTTTTCTTCTTTCTGGAGTAGATTAGTAGGAACAAAATACCAGGGAGGCAGCAAGAAAGTTCAACACTCCCAGAGGGCTCCCTCAGAGTGTGGCTTGGGGCGCTGGGCTGACTCAAGTCACTGAAGCAAAAAAACCCTTGCACTCTACTGCACAACCATAACTTCCCTTTCTCCTAAGTAATAGCTTTAGAAAGAATCTTTTTGTTCTTTGTAGATAAGAACTTACATAGCTACCCACAGGCAAGAGAGTGCCTCCTTGTACTACTCTAGTCTCACCCTTCTCATAGTCTTGGATGGAGCCCAGAAAAATATCTTAAAGACATTCTATACCAATTTAAAACTTTAAAATGTTTTAAGTTAATGAAAAACAAAAGCTATCTAGGGGTTGCCAGCCACACTATGGCAAGGGAAGAAATCATAATTCAGACATTGTAAGGCATCCTTCTTGTGTGAATGGGACAAAGGGTACTTGGAAAGGAGCCATGTTGCAAAATAAACCAACTGCTGGTTTGAAATCATCTGGTCATTTGGAAAGTTCTAGGCACTAGCGAGCCAAATAATGTATCCCCTGCAGGCTATGGGATAAAGTGACATTGGGCGTTCATCCCAACCCCCCCCAACTGAGTGTGTCCACTGGGGTCCTTGTAAATCCAGTCCCCATTTCTACAGTATGAGGTACCAACAAGCTGGAGTCAGGCTGGGTTATAATGGAGGCTGCCAAAAAGAGGCAGAGCCTCACTCTGCATGGTTATCTTTATGCACTTCTTAGTAGCTCATAGTTAGGGTTTAATAAACATTAGCTACTGGTAGAAGTTGGAGTTCATTAGTGCAATAAGTTGTCCTTCGATGATTTTCAAGTCCTCATAATAGCAAGCAGGGACTCTGCCCCAGAGTCTGCTTTTAGCAACTCCACTCCCTGAAGAAGTGGACCAAGAGTTATGGAAAGAGAGGGAGGATGTGGCAAGAAGGGGCTCGGTGTTGATCTAGCAGAGGGCGGAAAAAGGAAGATGAACTAACATATGATGATTTGTACAAACGGAAGGGGCATCAAGAGCAGAGAGATAAAAATGAAGCCAGAAACAACCTTATCAGGCAAGGAACTAAAGAAAGAGGAAACAAAAGTGAGAAGATCAACCATAAAAAGAAAAGAGCACATATGAGGGCCAGTGACACTGCCCTCCACAGCTAAGATGCTGAA